TCAAGTCAAGTCAAGTCAAGTGGGTCAAGTGGTATGTGGTGCCGCTGCTTGAAGCAGAGAATAAGAAGCGGCTCGTGAAGGTGAAGTCGGAGTAGGCTCTTCGGTTCGAATCTCGAAATGGCCTCAAAGTTGGGTGAAAGGTCGGCAATTACGTGGTGCGGTGCTGAGGACTTTCACTTAAACTCAAGTCAACTTGGTGCTGTGCTGTGGCTTCTGGATCGAGAATCGAGATGTCTTCTGAGCTAACTCTACTAACGGTCCTTGCGTGGTGCTGCATCTGGGGGCAGAGATCAAGAATACACAGCAGTAAACCTCGTAGGCGGAAGCTTCTCAAGGCGGCTTTTGGTGGGGGGTTGGGGGTGGGGGGAAAGGGTAGATGGGAGGGCATAGGAAAGTAAGGGGGGGGGTTGTAGAATTGAGGTGATTTGAGGAGGGGAAGACCCTTTGGCGACAGTGACGCTGGTGGGAGGAGGTGAGCAGAAAAGGGTGTGCAGAGCAGACACCTGTGGGAATAATCCGGTTGTACAATGTTTCACTGAGGAATGCAAGGTTGAGCTGGTTCATTGAGTTTTCACAAGCCCCAAAATCGGAAACTGGGAGGAGAATTGATGGGTGCAATCTGCTCGTGCCACATGAAAAAAGGAGGACACCCGTACGATACGAGAGCCAACGCTGTGATGATTAAGGAGGACAAAACAACCATAGATATATATTCATACAATGCTAAGTTTGGCAGAGTCAAACTGGGTAACTACGGTAGTACTAATGATCTGCTACTACTCCCAACATACCTACACAAGCCAAGTTGCCACGCGAGCAACCTACAACCAGCTATTAATGCATGCTATTGATGCATTCTAAGGTATTCATTCACCATGCATGCGTCCAAGATATGTCCTCATGTCCCATACTGTAGGTAGAGCCTTGAACACCCTACTGACAAGCAAATTCAATGGTTGACAACCCACTGTCACTGAGCCAAGTGTTACCGGGCCAAGTCTTGCCGAGCCAAGTGTTACCGAGCCAGGTGTTACTGAGCCAAGCGTTACCAAGCCAGGTGTTACCGAGCCAAGTGTTACCAAGCCAAATGTTACCAAGCCATGTGTCGCATGATGCCGAACCAAGTGTTACCGAGCCAAGACAGGTTGGCCCTTCACATGGTGTCCTTGACCCGGAGCTCTGTGCCCCTTCCCTACAGGGTGCCCCCCTCCTGCCTTCTTAGCCGGTGCCACTCCAGTCCTCCACTTCTTCCCACGCTTCACTGTACCCGCAGTTACAGGGTTACCAGCACCTACTGCTCCTGCTGCTGCCGTGCCGCCAGCTCCCACCTGGGCATTGCTGTTGGTGGCGGCTCCTCCGTTTGAGTCGATGCTGTAGCTGGCATTCGGTATAGTCGGTATACCTGGCATTCGGTATAGGTACAAAATCTCCCAATTTCCTGCTTAGGCAACGAGGGTGCTGGCAGTGCCGGACTCGCTGCAAGGAGGAAAAGAAGTAGAGAAAAGATGGGATGGCAAGGATGAGATATCAGTAGGAAGGGTCATGCATGCAGCATGGCTCTCGGAACCCTTGCACGGTACCCATTGCTTCTAGGTTCACGGGTCAGCTTATGGCGCCAAGTGCAAGCAGCAACGACGGTTTGAGCCCTTAGAGCCGAATTCACACAAAGAAGACATCAACAATGCACTACAAGAGAGAGGGAGAGAGGGAGAGAGAGAGAGAGTGAGTGAGTGAGAGAGAGTGTGAGAGAGAGAGAGAATGGGGGAGGAGAGGGGGGGGGAGAAAGGTAAGGAAGCAGCAGCAAAATGCACTCACTACTTCCAGTTGGGCGGCAGCTTCTTGGTCCACTTGTAGTAGCGCGCGAGGCGGTGCACGCGGCTCTCGATGAGAATGAGGCGGAACTTGGAGTCCTTGTCCTTGCGGTTGCGCTCCAAGTGCTTGCGCACCGCCAGCGCCTTCTTGATCAAATGGTACAGATCCTCGGGGATCTCCGGTGCAAGACCTATTGGTGAAGGGGGAAGGGGGGGGGGGGGGGGGGGCGGCAGGGTGGGGAGGGGGGGAAGGGTCGGAGGAAGGGGTGAACATTACAAACCGCCAGCGCCTAGGAGATCGGATGGTACAGATCCTCGGGGATTTCGGGCGCCAGGCCTTAGACCCGAAAACATTGACAAGAAACATGCATCAACCTGTACCTAACTCAAAACCCTGAATAAATCAACATTTTTGTTTGAGAATCTGAACGAAGACGAGCGCCCGAGAGCAACGGAGGAATGGAGGGGCACATACCGATAACGCCCTCTGACCGCTCACTGCTCCGGCCGTGCGGCCCGCAGTGAAGCTTACAGAAAGGGACGTTGGAATATTCGAGGGGGGTTTACCCCAGCAGAGAAGAGTTTCAGGTCAGGTACCGTGAGCCTTGAGAATGCGCAGGACCTTGCTGCCAGTGACGCCCGACACCTGCGCGATACCGTGCGAGTCCCTCAGAATGACGCCGATCTGCGACGGCGTCAGACCCTTCTTCGCGAGCTTGCAGATGTGCTCGTCGACCTGCCATCAATCAGTGGACAAAAAGTGCAGAATGAATGAGCTGGACGTAAAGCGTGGCTCGAAGAATCAATTCTTTCGTCGCGAATTTGCGGATGTGCTAGGTCGTATGAGCGTGCCGGCCGACTTTGTTTGTTTTCCATGCCGACGCGAAGCCTTAACGAAAGTAAAGCGTCGGGCACTGTGTCTTTCCGAAAGGGGTATTGTATGCACATTGCCAAAAAGGTAAGAATCTAGACACAGAAGCTCGTCCTTAGAGCTCACGCAGGTACGCTGATTCGGGGTTTCTGGGATGATTTCCGATGGGTGGTCAAAAAGTAAGGATCTACGTTAAGTGAGAGAACGAACGTGCCTCGGGGGCGGAGATCTTCAACCAGCTCGGAGGAGTGCGCTTGTAGGGCAGGGCGGAGCGCGAAATACCCTTTCTGCATCAACCAAGTAAGGCGCGACAGAAAAAAAAATCGCGAACTACGCGCGTCAGCGTTCCCTCCGACAAAGCAAGGAACAGCAGCGCGAGGAAAATCAACTGACCCGTGACTGTGCATACGACCCATGGCGGCGGCTGTTTAGGGGACTGCCCACAAGGCGAGGAAGACGTGAGAGATGGAACTACGGGAAAGGGAAAAGCCCGTAGCTGTTGGAGCCAAAATAGGGGTTGCAGGTTCTGAAGGACAGCCACAGAAGGACTGCTACGGGGGGCAGGAAGGGTTTGAGAACGAGAGGAAGAGAAGGGGAATCGGACATGAAAAGCCTGATCCAACGGACACCGTTTCTGCCTGTGGGGGGGAGAGGGTTTATATGATAGTAAATTCATTTGTCAAGATACCGTGTACCGTTTACAGTTTTAGGGTGACATCTACTTCGCAGAATGTAAACGGTTTAAACTAACACATATACAGAACACATCCCACATAGCACATCATTGCAAATGGCGGTTCCAATGTTGAAGCAAATGACCGCTTTTTTCTAGCAACTTAGGACTCCAAGTTCACCTAAAATCTCAATCCGTTACCAAATATATTATTTCTGTACATATCTTCAAGCGTTTTGTTTTGTGTCAAATCTAATGCACCATTTGTTTTAAAGAGATAACTATATACGAGAAGTGTTCTGTTGCTGCGTGTAGTGGAACTTTTTCCACCGTGATACGCGGCCAGCCACAAGCTCAACGGAAGCTCGCTCCGCATCACGCGGCTGCAAAAGCCCAATAAAAAATCATTCCGCGTCAAGCAGGCGACGAAACCACAGTCCACCCTTCCCACGGCTCTTCTCCTTGTTGAAGGAAATTTGGGATAATTATTGCCTTTTTCAAATTTCGTCGCAATTATTCCGTGCAATGGCAGACATGAGTTCATGGCTCATGGCTTGCGTAAACGCTGCATGCTGCGCCGTCTCCCCACCCCTCGCGTCCCTCTGGTAAGCCTCCTTATCACTCCTGCCAGTGGGCATCCGTCGGGGTTGCACATCCAAGCCTCTAGAAATATATAAAAGCTAGTATTTCAGTCGTAAGGACCAACCAACTTCTGGCATTCGAATCTCCCACATCAGGATCTAACTTCCTTCGCAGCTCTTTTCCCGTCTTATGACACTACAGCACGTCACGCAAAGTCACTTCGCGGTACTTCGCGTGCACATTCAACCAGGCGTCACGTTGATTCTTCCTACATACCGCCGCAATATCCAACCCGCCATGGCTCTCCGGTGCTACCTCTCTCTTCTCCTCGTTCTCCTCGCGGCCTTCGCGCTGACCGTCGCTGCTGCCGATCCCACGGCTCCCCGCTTCGCGCAAATCAATCCTGATGGTACCACCCGTGGCGCCAGCGTTTCTACCAGCCGGCGCGCCTTGGCCGAATCACCGGCACCCAAACGGGTCTTCGAGGCGTATCCCGACACGAGCCTAGCCACGAAAATGAAGGACAAGGCGGCGAAAATGGCGAGCGATGCCGTGCTCGATGCGATCAAGGTTATGAAAGACCCGATCAAGGCTGCGAAGGACCCGGAGAAGCAGAAGGCGTTGGTGAGGACCGCAGCGAAGAAGGCGGCGAAAGCGCTTGCGAATGCCATGTTTCCTGGTCATGCGGGGGCGGTGACCGCTGCGTTCTATGTGAACCAGTACGTGGTGCCGCTGCTTGAGGCGGAGATTAAGAAGCGGCTCGTGAAGGTGAAGACGGAGTAGGGTTAAGGTCGAGATGGCTGGAGTAGGATGGAAATTACTTCCAGGCCGAGTCAAGTCAAGTCAAGTCAAGTGGGTCAAGTGGTATGTGGTGCCGCTGCTTGAAGCAGAGAATAAGAAGCGGCTCGTGAAGGTGAAGTCGGAGTAGGCTCTTCGGTTCGAATCTCGAAATGGCCTCAAAGTTGGGTGAAAGGTCGGCAATTACGTGGTGCGGTGCTGAGGACTTTCACTTAAACTCAAGTCAACTTGGTGCTGTGCTGTGGCTTCTGGATCGAGAATCGAGATGTCTTCTGAGCTAACTCTAGTAACGGTCCTTGCGTGGTGCTGCATCTGGGGGCAGAGATCAAGAATACACAGCAGTAAACCTCGTAGGCGGAAGCTTCTCAAGGCGGCTTTTGGTGGGGGGTTGGGGGTGGGGGGAAAGGGTAGATGGGAGGGCATAGGAAAGTAAGGGGGGGGGTTGTAGAATTGAGGTGATTTGAGGAGGGGAAGACCCTTTGGCGACAGTGACGCTGGTGGGAGGAGGTGAGCAGAAAAGGGTGTGCAGAGCAGACACCTGTGGGAATAATCCGGTTGTACAATGTTTCACTGAGGAATGCAAGGTTGAGCTGGTTCATTTTTTGAGGCGCCTCAAAAGTCGTCTCTCTACCCGCAATTTTTATATTGATCGAATTCTTGTTGCTTGGAAGTGTGCACGTAACGTGCAACAGTGCCTGGTTCGCGCGAGGTTACCACCACCCAATTCCAAGACTGCCAAAGACAAACCCGAAGAGTGACTGGACACCTAGGAATTTTCTTTTGTGTCTAGTTGGCGCATTTCTTATCTAGTTACGCGCCCGGGGTAGGATTTCCCTGTGTAGATCTCGAGGCTTGGGTGTTCTTTAAGACCCCTTGCTTGTTCGCTCTTTCACTTTGAACTCTTGCACTGATGAAGGCCTAGCGGGTATGATCCCCGTGCAAAGCCGAAACATGTTTGCTTTCGTCTAGAGTTTGAACTGAGTTGTACGTTCGGATCTTAATCAATTTTTTCGAGGGTTACTTTTTTCACTGGTTGACTATCATCCCTTTGCTAAAGGCGACCTTGCCTACTGCTGCCCTTCTTCATGAGCACAGATCCGTGGGACTTTGAAAAGTTTCTTTCGGAAGAAGAGGCCGGTATGAAGGGACGTCACTCTAAGAATTCATCTCGCGGAGGGGGTTCGTCTGGCCGCCCGGGTTTTTCTGCTGAGAAGCAGTATCGCGTTGCGGGTTCTACGTTCCCTCCCTTGCCACTGGTCCGCGATGATCGTTTCATTGAGAAGCAACCAGAAATTCTTCCCGCTGCTGGCTCGTCGGGTCTTTCGTGCGCGTTCGCGACGGAAGCTACTGCTGACGTTACTCCAATCCCTGAGCCGTTCAAGGGATGGTCGCTGTCTGCAGTTAAGGGCTTTCGGGACGACTACAAGTCATATCTGAAGGCGAAGGCGAAACTGAAAAAGATGAAGGAGCTCAACGACAAGGGCGAGATACTTCACAGTATCCGCACGAAGGCGGTGGAGTTCCAGACAAAGTACGCCACCATCAAGGAGAAATCTGCAGGGCTCGTCGCAGCAACGCATCTGGAGAACCAGAAACGTCTCCAGGCGGATTTCATTTCGTCTAAAGAAGCGGAGGTCGAGGAAATTCTGGCAGCGAGCAACTCGCATGTCACGGTTTTGGCAACAAAGCTCGAGGAGTACATACAAAGCCTTTCCGCCGACCCAGAGCTGGTGGTGTCTGACGCCGCCAAGGAGCGATTTCGTCGCTTGAAGGGACGCTGCATCGAAAAGGTTAACTCTGAGATTGCTGCTGCTAAGGATGAGATCGTCATCCGAGAACTGGATCGACAGCGAAAACAGGCCGCTGAGGACTTGAAGAAAGCCGCTGCCGCGGAGGAACTGAAGGAGATGGATACAGAGCTGTCGATGGAGGAGATCCTGAAGAACCACACTAAGAAGATGGCGGATCAGCTTCGCAGGGAGATCACAGCGAGTGTTGAAGCCAAGCTATCGAAGAAGTTCAAGAAGGAGCTCTCTCTGGGTGAACAGGAACCTACGACAGCCTCCAACGCGGACTCCAAGGCTAAGAAGGAGAAGAACGATGCGCCTTCGAAGCCGAGAAGGAAGCGCGGAGCTAAGAAGCCGAAAACGTAGAACTCCAACGGTGACAACGGGCAGCAGGGGAAAGGCGCCAACAACAACGACAAATCCAGCGCCAAGGGTCCAAAAAACGGCGGAGGCGGCCCCGGAAAAGGGCCGCGCAACAAGTAACGAGCCATGATTTGGCTCTCCGCTGGTTCGGTCGCATGACGTATCGGCAGGCGACGTCGCGCATACTGAACCAGGGAGTACACAACCTGAGCACCAGAATCTTGTCTCCTGACGAGAAGACGGCGCTTGGGTTGGGTCTGAAGTTCATACCAACGCCCGCCAGATCCCTTTCCTCCGGAGTGGAACTCGATCAGCTACTCCGACAGGTTTCCCTTCACTTTTTCTTCAACGAGTCAGGTGGTTCAGCGGCGGGTTCGCGTTTTCGTGTACGGAAGCCCGGTTGGGTCCCTGATGTGAATCCGATTCCAGAGCAGGTTTTCAAAGAAACGGTTTCTGACCTTTCTGTCCTATTGAAAGCTAACAGACCGAGGCGTGTTCGGAACATCTCGTTCGGCGTCGCCCAGGCTCTGCGTTCCATTGCAGCCGACCGCAGCGTGGTGATTAAACCGGCGGATAAGAACTTGGGGGTGACGGTGTTAGACAGGGAGCACTACGTCAGGCTGTGTCTGGATCATCTCGACGACCGGAGCACCTACGAACCAGTCTTCTCCAATCCCACAGATTCTGTCTTCCAGCAACTGCGCACACTTCAGGTGGCATGGGGCCCTGCTCTTCCAGATAGTCTATGGAGGTATTTCTTACATCAACCTAGCGGGGGCTGGAAACCAGCGGCATTTTACATCCTACCGAAGCTGCATAAAAAAACCCTGGCGGGGCGTCCGATCGCTGCTTCGCATGCGTGGGTCACTACTAACGTCAACACTTGGTTGGATGCTGAACTGCGGCCGCTGGTTCTTAAACAACCTTCCTACCTTCGCGACTCCCTCTCGCTGCTACTTGAGCTGGAACGCACTACTCTTCCCCGAAATGTGCTTCTGGCGACGTATGATGTCACCGCGCTGTACCCCAGTATTCCACTTCGGCGCGGTCTTGATACGGTCAGCGACTTTCTGCAGAGGGAGAACTCGTGTCAGGCCTTCCCGGTCTTGGCCATGCTGGAGTGGGTCATGTTGAATTCCTACGTGGAGTTCAATGGCAACATCTACCGCCAGATTCAAGGGACCGCCATGGGAACTCCCGTGGCGGTCTGCTTTGCGGTACTTTTCATGAGCCGACTGGACGAGGTGCTGAAGCAGAGGTGGACCGGGACGCAGCCGCTTCGACACGTCAGATACATCGACGATGGGTTCATTGTCTGGCCTGGAACCAGAGATGAGCTGGAACGGTACTTCAACACGTTCAACAGCCTCGACCCGAATATCAAGCTTACGTGGCATGTCTCGGAGCAGTCAGTGGATTTCCTCGACATGGTCCTCTACAAGGGGGACCGGTTCGCTGCCTGCGGTACCTTGGATTTCCGGACCTTCCAGAAACCTATGAACCGGTATCTCTACCTCCCATTCTCACCATACCACCCACGTCACTGCAAGGTTGGGTTCATCCAGGCCGAATTGAAGCGGTATCTACTCCGCTCGTCATCAGCCTCGGCCTTCCTCGCAACGAAGCATGAGGTTACCACCACCCAATTCCAAGACTGCCAAAGACAAACCCGAAGAGTGACTGGACACCTAGGAATTTTCTTTTGTGTCTAGTTGGCACATTTCTTATCTAGTTACGCGCCCGGGGTAGGATTTCCCTGTGTAGATCTCGAGGCTTGGGTGTTCTTTAAGACCCCTTGCTTGTTCGCTCTTTCACTTTGAACTCTTGCACTGATGAAGGCCTAGCGGGTATGATCCCCGTGCAAAGCCGAAACATGTTTGCTTTCGTCTAGAGTTTGAACTGAGTTGTACGTTCGGATCTTAATCAATTTTTTCGAGGGTTACTTTTTTCACTGGTTGACTATCATCCCTTTGCTAAAGGCGACCTTGCCTACTGCTGCCCTTCTTCATGAGCACAGATCCGGAGGAATGCAAGGTTGAGCTGGTTCATTGAGTTTTCACAAGCCCCAAAATCGGAAACTGGGAGGAGAATTGATGGGTGCAATCTGCTCGTGCCACATGAAAAAAAGGAGGACACCCATACGATACGAGAGCCAACGCTGTGATGATTAAGGAGGACAAAACAACCATAGATATATATTCGTACAATGCTAAGTTTGGCAGAGTCAAACTGGGTAACTACGGTAGTACTAATGATCTGCTACTACTCCCAACATACCTACACAAGCCAAGTTGCCACGCGAGCAACCTACAACCAGCTATTAATGCATGCTATTGATGCATCCTAAGGTATTCATTCACCATGCATGCGTCCAAGATATGTCCTCATGTCCCATACTGTAGGTAGAGCCTTGAACACCCTACTGACAAGCAAATTCAATGGTTGACAACCCACTGTCACTGAGCCAAGTGTTACCGGGCCAAGTCTTGCCGAGCCAAGTGTTACCGAGCCAGGTGTTACTGAGCCAAGCGTTACCAAGCCAGGTGTTACCGAGCCAAGTGTTACCAAGCCAAATGTTACCAAGCCATGTGTCGCATGATGCCGAACCAAGTGTTACCGAGCCAAGACAGGTTGGCCCTTCACATGGTGTCCTTGACCCGGAGCTCTGTGCCCCTTCCCTACAGGGTGCCCCCCTCCTGCCTTCTTAGCCGGTGCCACTCCAGTCCTCCACTTCTTCCCACGCTTCACTGTACCCGCAGTTACAGGGTTACCAGCACCTACTGCTCCTGCTGCTGCCGTGCCGCCAGCTCCCACCTGGGCATTGCTGTTGGTGGCGGCTCCTCCGTTTGAGTCGATGCTGTAGCTGGCATTCGGTATAGTCGGTATACCTGGCATTCGGTATAGGTACAAAATCTCCCAATTTCCTGCTTAGGCAACGAGGGTGCTGGCAGTGCCGGACTCGCTGCAAGGAGGAAAAGAAGTAGAGAAAAGATGGGATGGCAAGGATGAGATATCAGTAGGAAGGGTCATGCATGCAGCATGGCTCTCGGAACCCTTGCACGGTACCCATTGCTTCTAGGTTCACGGGTCAGCTTATGGCGCCAAGTGCAAGCAGCAACGACGGTTTGAGCCCTTAGAGCCGAATTCACACAAAGAAGACATCAACAATGCACTACAAGAGAGAGGGAGAGAGGGAGAGAGAGAGAGAGTGAGTGAGTGAGAGAGAGTGTGAGAGAGAGAGAGAGAATGGGGGAGGAGAGGGGGGGGGAGAAAGGTAAGGAAGCAGCAGCAAAATGCACTCACTACTTCCAGTTGGGCGGCAGCTTCTTGGTCCACTTGTAGTAGCGCGCGAGGCGGTGCACGCGGCTCTCGATGAGAATGAGGCGGAACTTGGAGTCCTTGTCCTTGCGGTTGCGCTCCAAGTGCTTGCGCACCGCCAGCGCCTTCTTGATCAAATGGTACAGATCCTCGGGGATCTCCGGTGCAAGACCTATTGGTGAAGGGGGAAGGGGGGGGGGGGGGGGGGGGGGGGGGGGGGGGCGGGCAGGGTGGGGAGGGGGGGAAGGGTCGGAGGAAGGGGTGAACATTACAAACCGCCAGCGCCTAGGAGATCGGATGGTACAGATCCTCGGGGATTTCGGGCGCCAGGCCTTAGACCCGAAAACATTGACAAGAAACATGCATCAACCTGTACCTAACTCAAAACCCTGAATAAATCAACATTTTTGTTTGAGAATCTGAACGAAGACGAGCGCCCGAGAGCAACGGAGGAATGGAGGGCACATACCGATAACGCCCTCTGACCGCTCACTGCTCCGGCCGTGCGGCCCGCAGTGAAGCTTACAGAAAGGGACGTTGGAATATTCGAGGGGGGTTTACCCCAGCAGAGAAGAGTTTCAGGTCAGGTACCGTGAGCCTTGAGAATGCGCAGGACCTTGCTGCCAGTGACGCCCGACACCTGCGCGATACCGTGCGAGTCCCTCAGAATGACGCCGATCTGCGACGGCGTCAGACCCTTCTTCGCGAGCTTGCAGATGTGCTCGTCGACCTGCCATCAATCAGTGGACAAAAAGTGCAGAATGAATGAGCTGGACGTAAAGCGTGGCTCGAAGAATCAATTCTTTCGTCGCGAATTTGCGGATGTGCTAGGTCGTATGAGCGTGCCGGCCGACTTTGTTTGTTTTCCATGCCGACGCGAAGCCTTAACGAAAGTAAAGCGTCGGGCACTGTGTCTTTCCGAAAGGGGTATTGTATGCACATTGCCAAAAAGGTAAGAATCTAGACACAGAAGCTCGTCCTTAGAGCTCACGCAGGTACGCTGATTCGGGGTTTCTGGGATGATTTCCGATGGGTGGTCAAAAAGTAAGGATCTACGTTAAGTGAGAGAACGAACGTGCCTCGGGGGCGGAGATCTTCAACCAGCTCGGAGGAGTGCGCTTGTAGGGCAGGGCGGAGCGCGAAATACCCTTTCTGCATCAACCAAGTAAGGCGCGACAGAAAAAAAAAATCGCGAACTACGCGCGTCAGCGTTCCCTCCGACAAAGCAAGGAACAGCAGCGCGAGGAAATCAACTGACCCGTGACTGTGCATACGACCCATGGCGGCGGCTGTTTAGGGGACTGCCCACAAGGCGAGGAAGACGTGAGAGATGGAACTACGGGAAAGGGAAAAGCCCCGTAGCTGTTGGAGCCAAAATAGGGGTTGCAGGTTCTGAAGGACAGCCACAGAAGGACTGCTACGGGGGGCAGGAAGGGTTTGAGAACGAGAGGAAGAGAAGGGGAATCGGACATGAAAAGCCTGATCCAACGGACACCGTTTCTGCCTGTGGGGGGGAGAGGGTTTATATGACAAGTAAATTCATTTGTCACGATACCGTGTACCGTTTACAGTTTTAGGGTCGGGAAAATATGCCGTTCGTAACCATCATGGGACTCGAAAACATTTTTGGTAAAAAAATAAAGGGTACGGTCACTGCAAAGGGTGTTTTTCACGCGACTGATAAA